TCATGGTTCCATTTGCAGCACATCCTGCTTTCTCTTGCACAGCTGAGCATTCTGGCAAACATTTTCAGGAAGCCCTATAGGATCGTGACTGTGACCTTTTCATCCTGGGGGTTTTCTGCCATGCTGCAAGACAGTACGTATTTAAGGTTTCCCATTCCCTCCCCCAAATAAAGGGCATTCTGCTTGCACGAATGACGGGCTTGTCTTGTGTCTTCTTCAAATCTCCAGGCCTTCACCCGATAATTAATAGTCAAGCAGCCCAGGCACTACAATGTACTCTGTGGCTTTTGGAGCCCAGCCAGCTTCTAATTGTTGGAGTGTTCTCTGGTTTTGATCTCTTTCCCACCAGAGGCCAACGGCTCTGGCTCTTGTATGTGTAGAGTTCCAAAAGCCTATCTTGAGCCATCGTAAAAGGGTCCAAATCGATCATTCTCTCTTCACCCCTGTTTTCTGGGACAGCTTCCTATCTGAAAACAGAGATTGGCTCCAGCCTGTCTTGAGCAGAAGGCACGTTTGAGGTCTAGGCAAGTGAAAAAGTTGGTCAAGTTTGGAATTAGCCATGTCAGATCATGCAGATTCAGGACTGTGGGTGTCCATGTTTCGGTGACCTCACTGACCATCCAAAGAGCCTGGACCAGCAGGTTATCAGTCATTCCTTCCTGACGTCCTTACTGGGAGTAGTGGTGCTTTCTAGGGGTACTGGACCTCCCATAGAATCCCTTCACTTTTTAAATTTTTATTTGGTGAGCAATGCCCATCTAGGCCCGCAAGGAAATCTGGGATTGCTTCTACCTGAGCAACATGACTGTGGGGCGGGGTGATGGCTGTTTTTGGTTGTTGACTTGAATACATCTGGAATTAAAAACCAAAGAAGTGGAGGGCACAGCTGTGAGGAGGAGTTTTTGCTTAATTTGAAGCAGGAAGATCCACTTCTAATCCAGGTCTTTGAGGGAAGGAAGACAGGGAGATCTTCAGAGCTGGGGAAACCCACCTCTAACCTGGGCCACACCTTTGGCTGGAAGCCTGTATGAGGACATAGAAGTGTCTGGGGCCTCCACGATAATCCAGCCCTAGCATCATCACATCCTCATAGAGAAGATGTGACTCCAGACCACCCTGAGAAATGCCGCCTCTTCAGGCATGAAGCGAATTCCAACAAACAGGCCTGCGGCTTATCTGTCAGTTAAAGATTACCTCGGTGGAAACTACCAAGTCCATAAAGAAAGGCTTGAGCAATAGATGGTGGATTGCGAAAGATAGGGTCAAACTCTGCAGTTAGGTTACCAAGCAACACAGGATGACCCGCCCTTCCCACTCACCTCTTGCCCAGCCAGTGTCCTTGCAGCTGCGATCAACACCCCCCACTCCTTCCCCTCCTCACTTCCCCTATATAAATCCCTTTGTGATGAATAAAAGTTGTCGACTTGATCAGAACTTGATCAGAACCCTGTTTTGTGGTCTGTTTCGGTACTCCCCGTCCTTCATTTTCTCCTAGGTGTTCCCGGTCTATGTTGACTGTTCCCCACCGCCGGCACGGTCATGGAAGAAGGAATTTTTTGCCTTTTGTCTGCTTGCTCTCACCTTACCTGCAAGTCCATGGCTTCACTGGTATTACAGCCTAATTCTTCAGGATTCCCGCATACACTGAAGACCAGCTAAGACATGCAACTTCGTGGGCTAGTCAACTGCTGGGTTTTAGACGTTCTATCCCTGTAAATCATTCTAATAAATCACACACACACACACACACACACACACACGTATATGTGATTTATTAGAATATATATCTAGAGAGAAGAGAGAGATTCATTCTATAAGCTCTGTTGCTCTATAGAACTGACTAATACAGGGGTGTATTTCTGCTTGTTGGGTTTCCTCAAGTGTCACATACCCGGGGAAACTGCTGCATGAGCTGTCCATAAAGGACCTCTGTGTCGGCACTTTGACAATAAATCTCTCCATAGAAGGGGCTAGAGTCCTCTGGCGTGCATAAAAATCTGTGCCTAACATGGTGGCCTCCCATTGAGCAGTGCCATGGCTTGCAGAATTGGTGGCCCTGATAGTTCCAACAATGGTCAGTGGTGAACTTCTCTCTGGCAAAGGTTTCCATGGAGACGTCTGCTCTTCTGTCCAAGATGGAGTCTGTTGCTTGGGCCCTGACATCATGGCTGATCTTGATTGAGGCCACTTGCTCTCAGTCTGAGTCTGGTCTCCTTGGTGGCAGCCTCAGCCTCCAGTGGGGACTTTCTTTCACTGAGACTACTGTAGAGGCCTTAGCTCTTTCCTTTTGGGGTTTATCTTCCTGGGCGTCTGGCCCCCTCTTCCTGGGGCATTCACTCAAGTGTCCTTTTACCTTGCATTGGGCACACTGGTCCCTGTCTAATGGCCTCCATCATCCTCCCTTCTTTTGGGTTTCCCCAGCCCACAATGTGAGCGCCAACATTTCTGCCTTTTTCTCTACATACTCTTCATTTTATTTTCTTTGCAGCCTTACCCCCATAAGCAATCACTATGACAGCCATGTCTGTATGCTGATCAGTATTCATGCCTGTGAGCTTATCTAGTTTTTGGAACATTCAGTACACATCTGGTTCAGACTGTTGGACAAAAGCAGTGTTGACCATTGACAACTTGCTCCAGGTTATTAGTGGGGGAGGGTACTGGTGTCGGGAGCGATCATTGTTATCTAGAACCTCTTGTAAATATTGCCAGCTTCCTTTAAGGAATGGTCTGTCCCCTCCCCGGCATCCCAATGAATAGAACTTGGGCTCACAGGAAAAGCCGATGGCATAAAGGAAACATTTCACAGTTAGATCACTGTGACCCTTTAACCTTGCCAACACCTGTTACCTGCTCACCCTCAGTGGCCTGGTTACTAGGCAACGACCCCTCCCTCACTGTCCCCCATCCCTCTGCCCCATCCCCCTACCTCATTTCCCCTTTATAAGACTGTAGGAAACTCTCATTAAACGCAGCTTGACCAGCCGTGTTGTCTTGCTGTCCACTTCTCTTGTCCCCGTCATTCCAGCTTCCCTTGGGCTCGACCTTCGTCGAACCCTGCTGGCCAGGGCTCACTGGAGTGGTCATCCTGTGCCGTCTATTTGAGGTAAAATGCACAGTCGGGAGCAGTCAGCAGTCTTCCCCGCATAGGCTGGTGGCTGTGTACAATGGTGGTCAGAAGGTCGATCATTGCCTGTGATTGCTCTGAGACCGTTGGTAGAAAGGGTTGATAAACATCAAACAGATTTGAGTCTCTTGTTCTCCTGGATAGTGGCTGGCCGGCCCTGGAGTTTGACACAGTCAGCACGGGGCTACTGGACAAGGCAGTGAGCAGCCCTCCAGGGAACTGGAGGTTAAGCTGCCCAAGACAGATCTTCCCCAATGGTCTTCGGGCAAAGGGATCTACAGAGGCAGTGGTATGGGCAAGTTCTCAGGTGGCAAGAAAAGGTGTCAGCAGATGTTGGGAGCTTGGGGTTCTTGACTCTATAGAGAAGGTGACCGTGTGCAGGAGGTCCTGTGCCTGGAGAATGGGTGACTTTCCAGAGTGGAGACTGTCTTTTTTTTTTTTTTTTTTTTTTTGGTTTTACGAGACAGGGTTTCTCTGTATTGTTTTGAAGGCTGTCGGTCCAGCCCGGCCTCTGCCTCCCAAGTGCTGGGATTAAAGGCGTGTGCCACCACCGCCCAGCTGAGTGGAGACTGTCTTAAGAGATCAGGACTGCCCCAGAATCTCAAGGGGCATAGAAACAAAGCCCGTATGGGGGAGGGAAGGGTGGAGGGCCATACCAAGAATCAACGTAAAGAAACTAGTTAGGTGGTCGGGGTCTCCAGTACAGGTGTCCCACACTCTGCACATGGTGTCCAGGGACAGGGTTCTTTCTGAAGGTCAGCTGACATCCAAGGAGGGCCCTCAGTCTGGGGGGGCTTCATTCTCATCCAGGTCCCTTGAAGGTTGCCCAGCGCCCACTTATCCAGTGCTACCATGACCGTTTTGTCAGACTTTCAGGCCAGCCACCGTCCAGGAGGGTGAGGCTTTCAGAGCAGGCCCAGTGTCCGGAGTATATGTAGTACACACATAGGGAGGAGCTACATACATAGTGCACAGCTACATACATAGTGCACACATAGGGAGGGGTGGGAGCCCAGGGTCAGTCTGGTGCCTCAGCTGCCTCACAGCAACCTAAGAGGTCTCACCTTAGGGCCTGATGTATAAACCCTTTTTTGGGGGTCAACTCCCACCTCAGAGAAGGTATGGACCTATCCAGGCTAAGCAACCTCAACAGAGCCTGTGGTTTGGGGTACACTCATACTCACAGCCTCATTCTCAAATGAACACGCATTCATCCAGAGTTTCAACAGTTAATCCTTAACTTTCCCTCCGAATCCTGTTCTGCCTGGAAATCTAGACTCCGAGACTGGAGGAATGTTGTGGGAATCATTTTAGAGTGAACAGTTGTTTTCTAAAAGTACTTTGACCTTGAAGAATCCTTGTGGAAAGCAGCGATTGTTTTCCGAGATCTGCAGAACTGTGTTTCTGAACGGGCGTGGCAGCCTCCCATTGACTTTGGTCACAAGATGCCTGTGGCGCACCTGAGGCTCTTGGATTACTGTGTATTGCAAATGACACACAGTACGGGACTAGAGTCATGAGGGTATGTGATGCTCCCTTTAGAGAGACATATAGATTAGACAGGACCTGGGAATGAGGAAGTGCTTTACCCCCCCAAACGATTTTATGTAACAGTCAATAAACACACCTATATAGAGAGCTGTTTGGGGTTCAGCTCATCGGAGACTGTACCTTCCTGCCACACAGGCCCTAAGATTTCATCTTGGAGTGACCCCTCTCTTCAACGGACCCAAGCAACACAGAACACCCCGACAAATGAGGGTGTGTTCCTGTCCCCTCAGAACTCCAAGGTCCATGAGCACCTTGTCTGGGGACTGAGGATCTGCCTACACCAGGGTGTCTTACCTGGCTCTGTTGTCTGCTCCCAGATGTCATCCTCACATTGCTGATTTTTTATTTTATTTTATTTTATTTTATTTTGTCACAGGCTCCATAGTTCTCTTTGGCTTCTGGGAAAGAGGACCCCTGGTTCCTGATGCTGCAGCAGGGGTCCTCCTTAGCCAACGACGGGTGCAGAGATGAAATCTCATTGTGGGAGTTTCTGGAAAACTGAGTCAGTTCTGGAGAAGAAAGCTCATTGTACAGGCAGGCAGGCAGGCAGGCAGGCCACGGTTGGGACGCTCGTGCTGGGGCCTCAGTCTCGGGTGAGAGGAAGCAATCGATCGCAGTAAAGGCAGTTGCTGGGCAGTGTGAAAATTTGGTTACCCCACTTCCTTGGTGCCCTGAGCTCTTGGAGAATCGGCAAGTGGGTGGAGCATCTGTCCCAGCGCCGGGGAACTAGCACTGCTTGAACGGGGCAGTTTGGGAGGTCTCTGCCGCGACATGCCCTTCCCTCATTCCAACCCTGTAAAACCTTAGGCTCCCATGCCACAGGGCAGTCTCTATTTCCCCATTCCTATGGTGAGGTTTTCCTCCTCACTCTTTCTGTTTCAGGACAGTCTGCTTCTGTTGGGGGGGGCTAGACTAAAGGCCCCTTGGAGTCCTGTGGGTGGAGTGCTGGATACGTTCTCTGCCAGCGTCATGCTTGCCAAGGCCAGCAATGGACTGGTGTCAGGGGCCAGGGCTGTCCTTTCCCTCAGAGCCCCAGCATGAACCCAGGAGGAACTGCTGGTATGCCTCCGTTGAAGTCTTGGGCACGCTCTGGTTTCCTTCCTGTATGGTCCGGTCCACCCCAAGTCTAACCCTGAGAAAATAAAATCTACAACTCAGGCCAGAATAAAGGCTGTGCATTGACCCCAAGGCCTCGTGATCTAGTTAACCTTAACTTTTTATCTAGTTGGTCTTCTCATAGATCCACTCAAGAAAATTACAGACCACCATACTTATGAAGCAGATTAGGAACAGAAATAGTCCCTTGTTACCTAGTGCCCTAGTCAGGGTTTCTGTTGCTGTGAAGACGCACCATGACCATGGCAACTCTTACAAATGATTAAATGTAAGCGGTGGCTGGTTTACATTCAGAGGTTTGTCATCTTAGCAGGGAGCATGGCAGCACACAGGCAGACATGGAGCTGGAGAGGTGCCTGAGAGTTATATAGACATCTGGATCCAAAGGCAGCAGAAGAGATGCTTAAGCCACCAGGCCTGGCTTGAGCGTCTGAAACCTTAAAGCCACCCCCATTGACGTACTTCCTCCAACAAGACCACACCTACTCCCATAAACCCACACCTCCTAAATAGCACCACCCCCTATGGGCCTATGGGGACCATAGTTATTCAGACCACCGCGTTCTACTCCCCGGCCCCCATTATGCTCATAACAGTTATCATAATGCAAAATGCAATTAGTCCAACTTCAAAAGCCCCCACAACCTATCAGGGCTTCAAACGTGTTTAAAAGCCCAAAGCCTCTTCTGAGATCGGTGCCATCTCCTAACCGTAATGCCTGCAACGTCATGATGAAAAAGCAGGTCTCTGCAGAGTGAGGAGGAAGCAAGTCTTCACAGGGGATAGCTGGACACACCAAAGGAAACGAGCCGTGGTCTGAAGAGGAGGTGCCTTCCTGTGGCCAGCATTCCCAGAAGAGGCATTCTTACCTTGACCGGCTTGCGTAGCCCCCCAAGTAAAAGTTCAGGGTCCTGTAGGAAATTGGAAACCCTGGCTAAAGCTTAGTAAGCAAGTATTTTCTCCCGAGGGATCAAGGGGATTGAGCAAGTAGGGATATAGCGAGGAATTTGGGGACTTGGAGGGTTTTCTTTGCTACTCAGAAGATCTCTGATTCCTACCTAAGCAGGCTGGTGTGTGTGTATGTGTGTGTGTGTGTGTGTGTGTGTGTGTGTGTGTGTGTGTGTGTGTGTGTGTGTGTCTTTGTAGAAAACCATTCTCTGGAACAACGGAGAATGAGGAGTTTTTGTTGTTGCCATGCGGAGTTTTGTTTCTTTGGGGGGTGGCTTTGGTTTTCAGGCAGTCTCGTTTAGCCTAGCTTGGCCTCTAATTTCCATATAGCCGAGCCCTGGCTGTCCTGGAAACTCGCTCTGTACTCCAGGCTGGCCTGGATCTCACAGCGATCCGCCTGCCTCTGCCTCCCTAGCGCTGGCATTAAAGGCCAGGTGTGCTGCTGCGCCTGGCACAGTTTCTGTGTTTTATCTCATCTAAACGTCACCATAACTCTACACTCAGGTACTGTCTTAACTTTCACATCACAGATGAGCAAATCTGCACAGAGAAATCTAAGTAACAGATTCATTAGTCACTCGGGTGAATTTAACATTCGCAGCCTGCTGTGGGCCCAGTGGCGTTCGCTTGTGGTAATAGCCACTTGGAAGACTGGGGTCATTAGGAAATTGGACTTTAATTGGATAGGGCATCATCAGGTCAGGCTCCTGGCTGTTAGAGTCTGACTGCTGGAAAGGCTGGGTTTTGCTGTTTTTGTCCTTGGCCTTTTTGCTGGCGTCCCTGGATGCTGGATGGCCCTAAGAAAAACACGATGCGCGCTCATGCCCTAGATGTGCCCTGGACAAGGTCCTAGCGTCCCCCCCCCCCCCACCCCCAAAAAAAATCGCTTGGTCGCTTTGGCAACCGACACTTCCGGGAATCCAGGAGGCGCCGGAAATGACTCTCACGCTTCCGGCGCCGCCGTTGTTGTCGCTCCTAGCGGGGGGGGGGCGGGGGAAGGGGTCCTGGCGGTGCCGGGACGGTGAGCCGTCCGTCCCGCATGAGGTCGCGACGGGGAGGGAGGTGCGGCCAGCACTCGGGGCCGGCTCGGGTTGGCGCCTGGGCGCCCGCGCTGCACCGGGCAAGACCGGCCAGGTGAGCGGCGCCACCGCGGCCGGACGCGACTGCCTGGCGCGGGCCCCGGCCGTGCGAGCCCCCTGCGGAGCATTCGGGACAGTGAAGGCGGAGGGAGAGTCCTGTGCTTCACGTGTGTGCTCTCAGAGAGTTTTTATAAGACAAAAGAAAAAAAAAAAAAAAGACAGGCTCAGCCGGGCAGTGCTCTCCTTTAACCCCCCCGGGAGGGGAGGCAGAGACTGGACAGCCAGGGATACACGCAGAATCCCTGTCTCGGAAAAAACAAACAAACAAACAAACAAAACAGGCTCAGAGGAAAACGTCAAACCCCGGGATCTCCAGTGCCTGGTGTCTGGAAACACAGCACACTTCCCAGTTACCCCCTTCCCCCCCAGGAGCTGGGTTTTCTTTTCAAACGGCATGCGTAGACGGTGGTGGTGGTAGAGGGAAACGTTTTTTCTCCCCATTGTCAGCTAAGTTAGCCCGTGCATTTACCGCATCGCTGTCCCTGTGTGACGCACATGCGCGTGTTGCACGTCTGGAAGCCAGTCCTGCCCTTTGAGTCTGGTTCCCAGAAAATGGAGCCCACATCCGTGTAAACTGCAAAGAGTTGCGTTAAGAGAAGAGGTCTGGGGGCGGGGGTGGGGGTGGAAAATGGTCCTAGGGATTACTGTGAAGGGAGACCACTGGTATGCCTGGGGAGACCAGGACGGCCTGGGTTCAGTAGAAAAGATCTCCAAAGTTTCTATGCTATCTACTTCCTCCCTTTTAAGTGGCCCCTCCGGCAGTTTGGAGGCCATGACTAGGGAGTTCCGCTTAAACCACTTCAAGTACACTGTTACAGTATGAGGTGCATCAAGGAAAACAAACCCGCTGTTTCCATCTGTGGCAACCAGGAAAACTGCCTCCAAAAGAAGTGGTGGTCAGAATGTGTCAGAAATGAGGAGAAAGAAGGGAGAAAGTCCAAACAGAGAGAGAGAGAGAGAGAGAGAGAGAGAGAGAGAGAGAGAGAGTGTGTGTGTGTGTGTGTGTGTGTTCCTATTTTGCAGAGTGGTAGTCCTAAACTGGTACATCTTTACTAGTTGAGTTTTGAGCCTCTACTCCCAGCATACGTTTATTAAAAAATTAATGCTATATGCTATTTGAGTTTCAGTGCCATACATACTGCAGAATGTAATTTAGCGTTTAGCACCCTGTTTCCTTCAGACCCCACAGTGGAGGCTGTTGCTATCCTTTTAATTTGGGCACTTGGGGAGAGTGGTTGGAGGTATGTGTGAAAAGCTACGGATGCTAGGCATAGACATTTAGCTAGGTTTTATCCTGTAGGTGACCAGGAGTTTGGGAAGGGAAGTCACTGGGAGTGATTTCTCTGTTCGTCTTCTTTCCTTTTAGCTGTAGAGTCTCGCACCAGCCGAGGGCTTGAGTACTCCAGGTCTCTGATTGTTCTCTTTATGCTTCTGTAGGCGACACTTCACTCTTCCTGTCGTGACTCAGAACAACAGCTCCTGCAATCTGAAGCAGAGACTCAATTTCGGTGTGCCTGCCGTAGCTGCAACCAGCTTCCCTGTGGGATCACAGTGGCCGTGGAAGGCAGGGGGACACCAGGTCTCATCCCCAGGATGGCTGTGTATCAGAAGCAGGAGGGGAGCTGGACTGTGAAGCAGGAGCCAGGAAGCCAGACCTGGGGACAGAGCTGCGGTCCCCAGAAGAACTCTCCGCCGGTCTGTGAAATCTTCCGGCTGCACTTCAGGCAGCTATGCTACCACGAGATGTCTGGGCCCAAGGAGGCGCTGAGCCGGCTCCGGGAGCTCTGCCACTGGTGGCTGATGCCAGAGGTCCACACCAAGGAGCAGATCCTGGAGCTGCTGGTCCTGGAGCAGTTCCTGAGCATCCTGCCCAGGGAGCTCCAGACGTGGGTGCAGCTCCGCCACCCCGAAACGGGCGAGGAGGCTGTGGCTGTGGTGGAGGATTTCCACAGACACCTTAGTGGGTCAGGGGAGGTAAGTAATTGAGTCTCCAATGCTGTTGCAGATGTTCTAGCTGCTTCTAGAACCCTTCTCTAGATTTGTATTATTAGCTTGGGAAGACACATTCTTCATTCTCCCCCCCCACACACACACTTTAGGCTGTTTTGCCTTTAGGATTCCCAAATCTGCTCCACTGACAGATGGGAAGGAGTTCTGTGCTACATGCCATAAGCAAACATACAAATTCCAACTGTCTTAGTCACTGCTCTGTGGTGCTGGAGACACCATGACCAAGGTAACTCTTATAATATCATCCATATAAGTATAGAATAATATATTAGAATGACCAATCAAGGAAGAAAAAATATGTAACATATAATACTGACAAATAGGAGGGCTATTGGCCATGCCCTGGGGTAGGATGGTCCATTCAAATCTTAGATCTGGCCCGCAAAAATTTGTTGATGGCATGGAAAAGACAAATTTTTCTACATCATCCAGATGTAATGGGATAGAGAAAAAACAATCCTTAATATCAATAATAGTTAAATAATGGGTGTTGGGAATGGCTGGAATCCAGGGGAGTCCCCTTTGCGGGGTCCCAGAAGGTATTATCCTCTCATTTATTTTCCTCAAATAATGTAAAAGCCTCCAAGAGCCATTGAACTTTTTTTATAACGAAGACTGGGGAATTCCAGGGGCTTGTTGAAGGCCGAACATGCCCCAAGGCTAATTGTTGTTCTACCTATATATGAAGTTGTTGTAACTTATGGGAAGATATAGGCCACTGCTCAACCCAGACCGGATTTCCAGGCACCCATTGAATTTTTGGTACCAGGGGGTGAGCAGTGGCCCTTAGGATTGGGGGTAAACCCAAGAATGTTTTTGTCTGATTCTCTCAAAATAAGGATCATCTCGATAGTTAGGGTGGCTGGCCTGTCCTTGTTTAAACTGTTGTTTATACTCTTCCTGGTCTAGAATCTCCTCATAAAAGCCCTTGTGATCAGTGGTAATATAGGCCTCAGCTTCTCCATGTCCTGACCCAGGAGGTTGGCCATTAAGCCCGACACCACTAGAGGGCGGACCTCCCCACGATTACCATCAGTATCAGTCCAGGGCTGCCAGTTAGCTGTTTCTCACGATGTTGACTGTCTGCCCACACAGAACAAGGGTGGGTGGGGAACCAACTGCCAGGAGGGGGATACTTCCTCCTTTCTTATTACCGTGCGATCAGCCCCAGTATCTATGAGAAATCTGAAGGTCCTTTCACCGACCATTAGGGTCATTTTTGGTCTTAAACCAGGAACTAAAGGTACGGTCCAGTGTGTCCTGACCGCCTTCTTCCCCTTGTTTAACGGGGCTGGGGATGGCCTCTGGAGGAGGTTAAAGGCTCACCTTGAAGGTTGAACTTGGATCTGCATTCCCTTGCCCAGTGAAACCCTTTCTTACATCAGGGACAAAACATACGAGGCACATTAGAGGCTGTAGGAGCTTTTGGGGTGTCTTTTATTCGATTGGAACATTCCTTTTTAAAATGACCCTCTTTGCCACATCCAAAACATATTTGCCCTTTCCCAACTGTTGGAGGGCATTAATTAGAGTGGTCATTTCCTCCTGGCGGGCAGCCTGTAGGGCAGATGCCATTGCCCTGGTCTGATGGGTGGTGGACCCCACGTCCTTAGAGGCTACGATCCACCTACCCAAGGACTGGTCCCTCAGCCCGGCACAGGCTAACTTGTAATCAGTTGTCATTCCATCCCAGACTAATGACCTAATAAATTTATCACGTAGTTCTCCAGGGGGAAACTTTCTCTGTAGACTCCTCTGTACCTTTTCTATAAAGGAGGCCAGGTCTTCCCCAGCCTCTTGGGTGATTCCTGAAATAGGGGACTCTGTCGGGCCTTCCTCTAGCCATTTCCAAGCCTCAAGCCCCAGTGCTCGGACCTGGTCCTGATAAGGATCAGGGATGGCCACCTGTTGAAGGCCTGTTGAGAACTGGTCAGAGGCGCCCGAAAGCATGCCAGAAGTAATTGGGACCACAGGGTGGGCTTTCTGATTTCATTCGGCCTGGATGCGACATTCATCCTGAAAAAATGCACTCCACTTTAGAAACATGGATCCGGGAAGCACTGCCCTAGCAAGGTCCTTCCAATCCTGGGTGGTACATTGATGGTGGGCTAGGCCCTGGAGGATGGTCTCTGCCCAGGGGGAATTAGGTCCATCCTCTGAGACAGCCTTTTTGAGTTCCTTTAAATCATGTGCTTTCCAGGGGGTACCAGGCAGCCAGACGGTTACCACCGGGGTTAACATTTGACAGGAAAAAGATTGGTCATTTCTACCCCAGAAGCATCCTCCCGCAGTAAGGCAGTGGTGCAGGGGGTTTCTGGAAAGGATTAGTGGGGGGACCTGGAAGCGGCATGACCTTAGACGGCCAAGGAGCACTTTCAGAAGGGTCTAGGAATGGATATAGGGGTGCAGGGTGGTATGAGGGACTAGGATTTGGCTTTGGTTCTTCCTGAGTTTCTTTATCTCCTTTTGTCCCTTCCTGGATTGGGGCCTCACTCTTCTCCCTAGGAGGCCGTGGGGGGAAGCAACCCTTTAAAGCAGACACTGTCAGGAGGGTCCCCAGTGGAGGAATCTCTCCCTTTTCCACCTGAGCTCTCCTAGTTAGGGTTTCCACTGTATCCCAAGTATCCCAATCAAAAAGATTACTCTCTGGCAGCCAGGGAGCAAACAGCCCCAGGCCTGGAGAGCCTGGTTATCAGAAAGCTTAAGGACTCCACTTTTAAGAAGGATCCATAAAGATTCTAGGGTAGGGTTAGATTTAGACGAAGACTGCCCCATAATTTATGGGGGTACACTCACCCACAAACCAATTGGCCTGTCAGTGTTGTTCTGTTCCTCACATGGGGCACCATCTCTGCAGGGTCCTCCCTGCAGGTAGAGCGGTGGGGGGGGGGGGGGTAGGACCAGTCCAGTGGTCTCTTCCCGGGGGCTGAGCAGGTTGGTGAGTGTCAATGACTCAGACCCTCCCCCCATTAGTTACGGAAAAAACACACTGAGTCTATCGAAGCAGGATCTCAATTATTCCAACAGGCAGGAACTTACATAGGACTGAGGTAGGGGATGGGAATCTTGGAATAGGGTAAGGTGACTTGAGGAGTTAAGGGCTAATAGTATTCCACCAAGCAGGCAGGGGGCAATCTTGCATCAGGTCTGCCTGAGTAACGAGGAGGTTACAGGTTAGAGACAGGTCGCCAAACTCTAGCCAGGCTCAGGAGCTTACACCGGGCCTCGCATCCGAGCCTTTCTTAGGCCCAACATGTCACGGCAATACCTGAGTCCCTGGTACCAACTTCTGTCCTAGTCACTGTCCTATTGCTGTGAAGAGACACCATGACCTACCCTGGCCTGCAGGGCACAACGGGTTTGAGCCCACGACAACCTGAAATGATGGAACAAGCAGTACAAAGAACTGACAGCAAGACAGACCTTCCGATCAAGCTGCCGTTTAATGAAGATTCTGTACAGGCTTAACTAGGGGAATGTGGCTTTGGCCTTGAGGCGGAGGTTGTTAGACCGGAGACGCTGGGAAGTGAGACAGGGTGTTTTTTGATTCGGTCTCGAACAATACCTGATTTATGGGCATAAAAACAGGATTTCTCCTGTAAAGTCAAACAGATGCCTCCCTTGTCTGCTGTAAGCAGGTCTGGGCCTCTCCTATTTTGTAGGACCACCTCAGCCAGGGAATCGACCTGATCCTGAAGGTCTTGTTCTGACTTATAAATTGTTTTTACATCGTCAGCAAGCTGTTGAGAGAGCTTTGAATATGTACTGAGGGCAATTCCCAGTCCGGAGGCACCTGTGGCCAGGGCTCCAGTTACTCCGAGCCCAATAAGAAGGGGAATAAATTGAACCGTTCTTTTATGTCTGGGAACAAAATAATCAAAGCTGGGTATGGGAAGAGGCTTATCTCCTGGAACTAAGTCTACATCAGGAAGGAGAGTGGCAAGGACACATAGTCCTGTCCAGTTGGCAGGCGGCATGGAGTAGTGCATTCCATTTCCACAAGCAAATATTTGCCCAGACCCTGGACAGAGAGCCATGGTGACTTTAGTCACTGAAGAACAGGATGTGAATGATGCTTCCCCTACATGTACATCAAAACTATTGTTTTGAAAATGTTTGTAAAAGCAGGAGGAAAAATTAAACCCTGTAGGTTGAATCTTAAAGGTTATACCAGGAGAACAACTAGTCGGAGGTGGTAGCTCTTCGACAGAGAAATTTTGGAGGGGTGGAATGGCCAATGGCCAGGAGGCTCCTAAAATTAGACATAACCAACAATCTTCTGCCAGTCGAGGGTTAGATGTATTTAAGGCAGAATGAGTAGCAAGTTAAGATATCAAAGGTTTGAGGATCTATATCAACACCTCTAGATTTGGGGAGTAAAAGGGGGTGGATGTGAATTTGTGGGATCATGGAATTAATCATGTGTTGGATCTGAGTCTGAACCTGAACCTCTCTGCATCAGTGGGGAATCCATCAGAGACATGAATGGGGAGCTACTTTATTCCAACAGGCTGGTTTTCCCTGAGGGGCACAGCAGGAAGCCTGGGCATATTTATAATTGCCAGGAAACTGGGGAGTTACAGACCAATCACTGCCCACACTACCAGAGTAGTAAGAGAGGGATATGGCTGTAAAGTATGTATAGCCATTATTTGTACACTCTTGGAATGAGCTATAGCACCTGGCATTCATCTAGTCTATAAAATAACATCCAGATAGGCATGGCCCTGGCTGCCCATTGACAAGGGGGATAATTTTTGGCTTTTTAACACATATCCAACTCTGATCATACCTTCCATCCAGCTGTGGGGAGTCCTCTAAGTAAGCTGTTTTATCTCCACAATCAGTAGATTGGGTATAGGCTCTGGGTTTGGGCCGGAAGCCTCCCCTGCAATTGCATGGGGGCCCGAACAGGCTCAGCAGGAGCTTAACTGAGTTGGCAGGTCCTCAGGTCCAGTTTCTGT